GCACTGGTTAAAGTCGCCTGCAGCAATAAATACAGCATCGGGGTGAGCTGTTTCTAGCGCGTTGATGACATCATAGAGTTTGCTGAGAACCGCAGAGGGATTAGCCCTTGGGCTAACATACACAGCAGCCAGAAACACAGCACTGTGCTCTCTTTCTAGTTAGTAGGGCCAGCATTTCAGCAATAAAAACTCTATGTCTGGCGAACAGTGCTTATAAACAGTCCGTACATCTTCACACTATGAGTTATTAATAAACACACACGCACCACCTCCCTTTACCTTCCCTGAAGCAGCAGTGTGATCGCTTCGATTTACAGAATGTGTTTGTAGCTGAATCGCTGAGTCTGGAACCCTGTCAGAAAGCCAAGTCTCGGTGAGAACTACAGCATAGAAGTTCCTGAATCTCCTTGTGTCTCCAGTTAGATTTTCTTTTTGGTATCTTCATTGTAAATGACTGTTTTTCCTTCACCAACAGATGCTTGTTTTTCTTCCTGTTTCACGCCAATCAAATGTTAAAATGTCATCAACATGCCCACTAGATACTTTTGATTATATGCTGCTGTTTTCTCACATGAGCTCACTCCAGCTCACTCGGATCTTTTAGACTTTGTACTAGTGAACTGGGAGGGTAAAATCTGGGTTGAATAACTCAGATATTTGCATTCTCACTTAGAGCTCCTGCGGGTAGAATCTAGAGACTTTCAGGGTTCTCGTGCATGACTCAAAGGGGCTTTGGGGGGATGGTTGGAGCCATCGGTGTGAGTTGGCGCAGCAGATGGCTGCCTCGGTTCTGTACCGGAAACAAATTCCTTGTGTGTAACATACTTGGCCAATAAAGGTGATTATCCTTATCCTTTAAATCAAATCAAATCAAATTTATTTATATAGCACTTTAAAAACAACATCCAGCTGACCAAAGTACTTTACATGGCAGAATAAAATAGCAATAAATGACTAAAATAGAGTACACAAAATCAGTGCAAATAAAAATGAAACGGCACAATAACCGACACACAATTAACACACATTCAATAAATTAAAATTAAAAGGAATTAAAAGGCCCTACTCTATATTAAAAGCCAAGCCAAATAAATATGTTTTAAGCAATAAAAGCACAGTCACTCCAGCGTTTATATCTTGCCCTTGGAACCTCTAAAAGAAACTGGCTTGAAGATCTGAGGGACCTTGTAGGTTTGTGTCAATGCACTAATTCAGTGAGGTAAAATGGAGCCAAACCATTAAGAGCCTTAAAACAAAAATCTATAATTTAAAGTCAATTCTAAAATGGACTGGAAGCCAATGGAGAGAAGCCAGTACCGGGGTTATATGGTCGAATTTCCTAGTACTTGTCAAAAGACGAGCAGCAGCATTTTGCACCATTTGGAGATGAGACTGGTTAACACATACTGTAGGTATATAGCATTGCAATAGTCAAGTCTAGAAGTGATAAAAGCATGGATTGCAATCTCAAAATCATTAAAAGAAAAGAATAACTTGGCCTTGCTTAACAGCCTCAGGTGGAAGAAGCTAGATTTCACAACTGAGTTGATTTGCTTGTCAAACCTCAAGTCACCATCAAACATCACCCCTAGATTTTTTACAGTTGACTTCAGTTGTCAAGCTAGGGGGCCCAGGCCCTGGTCAGAAGCATTTAATTCCACCAGGTCACCAAATAGCACACACTCTTATCTTATTTTTGTTGAGATTTAAAAGGTTAAGTGCCAACCATGATTTCAAGTCTGTCAAACAGTCAAACAGCAGCTGTAATGACACCCCTCTTGATGCCTTTAACGGTAAGTAAATCTGAATGTCATCAGCATAACAATAAAAAGAAAGGCCATATTTCCTTATCATTGATCCCTTAAGATGGATCCCTTTAGAGTGGTGAAGCCACTGGTGAAATGCAGGTAAGCTCTCAGTGTAACCTTTGAGCCACAGGAGGTCAGCCAAGTCAGAATCAGCCAGGAAGTAGATAAACGGACAAGGCCATTCTGTACAAGTGGGCAAATAGCTGGAGCCTTTCAGGAGGGAGGCCACGTAGGAACTGACAAAGGAAGGTCTCATTGATGGGCCAACAGGTGGTTCCCTTCCAAGGGACCAACAGGAGACAGCATCTGAGGCAGAACCTCTCTAGGGGGCAGCCAAGTGTTTGTCTTCTGAGGCTGGACCCCTCTGAAGAACAGGCAGGTGACTGATGTTGGGATACCTCCAGAGGGAGAGTAGCCTGGGTGTCAACAAGGTAAGTGGAGGAGTGGTGTGGTGCTGGCCCACTTGGTGACAGGAGGAGCTGAGACAGTGATGTTGGAGTTAGCAACCTGCCTACTGGTATAAATTGGATCAGAAGTGTTGACGTCATTCGACCCACTGGGGAACTACTTCAGAGGTTGAGTCACTTGAGAACAGGAGCAGGGCTGGCCTTGGCATCACCACTGAGGTATGGGAGCAGAAGTGGCATTGGTATCCTCTTTGACTCCTTCAGCTATGTAGACATCCTTGCCAACCCACTTGAGAGCAGAATTAGGGGTGGAACTGTCATCTTTGTCAACTCACCCAGTAACTGAAACCAAGGTGGCACCGGCTCCAT